ATCAGTATATCGTTTCAAAACCTACTCGAGCGTGAGCACGGAGCAAATGAATGTTCTTATCTGAAATATTCGTAATGAGGGGTTGGTAGCAATCAGCGTACATCTCACGATGCTTATGTAACATTCGATCAAAGATCTTTTGTCCTCGAAAGTCATGGGCAATACATACTTGACTCATTATGTAATAAGTATAGCTTCGAAGAGTTTTGCCTTTGTATTCCAATATATTGATTAAGAAAACAAGTTCAGGATGTGGATGTGGGTGAATGACAGAAGTACCAACCTCCCCCACACCCACACCCTCAAGATCCGATTCAGTCAGCGAGCATATTTCGAACGATTCCAGTGATCATTGTTTTCTTTCAAAATAGTTCACAGAGCAGAAAAGTAATGACACACTTTGTCTTTCTTCTCTGTCAACATATAGAAAAATGAAATTTATTGACTTTTAAGCCTCTTTTTAATTGAACCACAACGTTGTTTCTCTCGGAAGTCTGTTCCTGAAGCCTTTTTTCTATGTTACTACTCAATCATAATTTTCTGGTTACACTCTAATTAAGGCCCTTTTCCCTCCTCAAAGATCGATCTCAGACTAGGAACGTTTGAATGGCATGAAATTTTCAGGATATGTTGCTGCTGGTGTTGGAAGGCTATAGTAAAACTTTCAGTCCTGCATCATGATGTTTGGCGAAGATATTGGCCAAACAAGAGTCAAAAAATTGGTAATTTCGTCTCCAAAAGTTCTCTGTGTTCTTCAGTCTATACATTTTATATATCTTTTTTGTTTGAAAGAGCATGTCAGAATGCAGTGCCTATGAGGGTCCATTTTTTTAAGCTCTTACTTTTTAACGGAAAAAAAGGGATCGAAAGTTCAATGACTCAAAAAAACTCTCCAAAAATGACGCTCTAATTATACAAAGGGTTGTATATATAATAAAAGCAAAGTTTAATAAAAAAAAAAAAAAAAGAAAAGAAAACTGGCTCTCATACGCACTGCAGTTTTACACGTTCTTTCAAACAAAAGAAAACTATTGGCTACAATGAAGCTCCTTCAAGAATTCTTGGAGATACGATCGAGAACCTATAAAACGAAAAAAATCGAAAAAGATTTTCGGTTTTTTTTCAAAAACAGCTTGTTTTTCGAATAGAGAATGATGAAAATCTTCAAAAATTTTTGGAAAAAAAGAGGTGCAAAGTAAAAATTTTTGTCGTTTATGAGAGATCAGATAACGGGCTATCTTTTCCTGCATTTATCTTAATTTCGGTGATTTTGACGAAAAGTGACTTTTTTGAGGAGACCTTAAGTTGGCGCTGTTTGATTTTGATTGTTCAGCTTTAATGATACATTTTGATTCATTATAGTCGCTTTTGGTTCACGAATAAACTTCTTTCGATTAGAACTATTTTGTTTAAAATCAATTAACAAAAATTAAAGTCAAATGAAATCTATCTTTAAAGTATTAAGATCAGACACTTATTGGATCTTACAAGTAACCATTTTAATTGTTTTTAGGTAGAAAATAAAAACGAGTTTTTCTCTGTTTTCTTACATGAAAAATGACTTTTGGCAAAAAAAAAATGAAGTTATGGCTGAACGGCTAATTTTGAGGTGTGATACATATCTTAATTCATCGATACGTTTGTATATGATCTCTGAGACAAAATACATCTCATTTTTTTCTACATTTTCTTCAAGGACCTGTAGTTGGATTAGGAAGCTGCAGATTCAGGTTTTTCAGAACCGTCACCAGAGATTTTTCACTAATATTTTGTACCTTTTATGTACATGAACGTGTGAAAGATCAAACATTTAGCTATTTCTTTATTACTCTCTGAAAAAAAGTCAACATATTATTATCTCTTATTGTTCACTTTATCACCATTCGATGCTAAAGAATTAAAATTCTTAGTTTATTTGAAAAGGAGATTAGATTAACAGAAAACCGAATTAAAGAGTTAATTGTTGAGTAAATTTTGTCATTGAAAATTCTAACACTAAAAGTAGCACCAAAATCTCTAACCATATGAAATAGTTGTAGTTGTATGTATGCAAGCGACATTATTAGTTTGGATGTGAGTGTAGATCAAGAGGAAATCGACAGATTCGCAAGATTCTGAAGTCTCGAGAATACACTAAGAATCTTTGAAGTTTTGAGAATATGGCGGAATTCCATGGGAATCTCTGGAATCCAATTGAAATTTCGTGAACCATCGAAATACAGAATCCGCCGATCCTCATTGATCATAGCAGAAAAATGGGAAGCAGATCTTCTGTCTTGAGAGAACGTTTTCATATGGATTCATATAGAAATGCGCTGAATGAGTCTTTACATTCACGAATGCCTGTTTCCAACATGTATATTGCGATACTAGACAGTAAAATTAACAGATGTATTGGTACCAATCATCATAGTTTGTTCACATTGAATACTGAGGCATCCGTGATTGATAAGCCGATATTAATGAAATTATTTCAAGTGAAAAGTTATGCTATAGCTGTCGCACAAGCTTTGGTCATGATGTGTATTCTTTCTGATGTGTCATCATCAAACCAATTAAAATATTTGAAAAAAGTTTTGGGTTGTTGTAAACGATGTGTTCGAATGTTTTAATTTCGTTGAATTCAAAACTTGTGGATTGGTTGTTTGTTGGATGAGTCAATCTATCTTATTTGAATACTACCAACGCAATGACAAAACGTTTTATTCATATGCAATTAAATAACAATAAGGTGAAGTGGTGTGCGAATGGAGTGTAGCGAGGACAAAAAAAAATACGCCGAGATATGTTTCAGTTAGACTGATACTGTTAAATAACAAATTACAGAAGAACCGAGTGAGTCTTTGTTCCTTGAATATTTGCTTTTGTTTTGGCTAGTCAAGCTAGTTGATGATGTCATAGTTATAGACTATTTCCTTATTATGGACACAATAGCGAAACGTCAAAGTACAAGAAAAAAAAACGAAAGTTCAAATCTAACCCTTCGTTGAATATTATCGATGCACACACACAGAGAACTATGGCAACGATCGACTACTTGATAGAGCAGAAAAAAAATAAGAAACATTGTCGATTTTCTTTATCATCGTTCATGTAGGCAAGCGCAGTTGTCGGTGAATGACATACATAACTATTTTCTCATTAAGACCCGTTTGCTCGATAAAGAAAGGAGAAAGAAAAAGAACGCATTTTTTTCAGTGACTTTACTACTTGTTATGCATTTAATTATGATTGTTAATAGAGACTGTATGCAATTCACACCGTATGATGAAATCAGATTTTTCCTTTTAGTTTTAGTCTGTCGCCGGAATCTGTTGTGAACTTCTCTTGCAAAACGTTTCTATCATCATGTCTTGTACCGAAGAGTCTGATGATTATTGGAATTATAATGATCCGTCAGATTGGTTTGAACATTTTCCAGCGGCTGCTGGTACCTGCCAATCGCCTATCAATATTAAGTCTCGTTATACAGTTGCTAAACAATACCCACCATTCGTATTTTCTCCTGATACTGAAAGAGAAATTACATTAATATTGACAAATAATGGCCATCAAGTTGCTGCAACGCTACCAAAAGATTCTGGAACTCAAAATGAAATGGATTTATCATTTACTGGTGGCGGTCTAACTGGTAAATTTAATTTCGTCAATTTTCATTTACATTGGGGTAGAAGTGACAGACATGGATCGGAACATGAAATTGATGGACACAAATATCCGGCTGAAGCACATTTTGTCTATAAGAATCTTGAAACTCAACAAACCGCTGTATTTGGATTTTTTTTTCATGTTGTTCGTTCAGTTAACGAAGAAAATCGTGCATGGAAGAAATATACACATATTGCAAGTTTATTGACAAATATAGGTGATGCAATGAGTTGCACTTTCATTTTAAGTCATCTGATGCAAATCGAAAGCAGACGTTTTTTTCGTTATATAGGTAGTTTGACAACACCACCATGCACTGAAGGTATTATATGGACAATATTTGTCGATCCGATTCCGATAGACGAAGAAAGTTTAAATTTACTTCGCAATAACGTGATGCGCAAAACCTATCGACCGGTTCAACCAATAAACGATCGAATTATTCACAGAAATTATGATCACTAACAGACAAGATAAACGCTTGAATATTATTGACATTTTGGTTCAAAAATAAAGCAAAAAATGCATGCCTAAGATACATATCCACATTCTGCCATAGTTAAAGAATGTAGATCATTGTAATCTGGACTAAAGACATCCGATAGGCTTCTGCTAATTTCTACCGAAATTTCAGAGAATTCCGGTAGAATAATTACCCTTGGAAGGTGTAGGATTCTCAGGACTTCAAACGGTCAGGACATGTTAGAAATTATTCGTTCCATCTTGAAATTGTTTGCAGACGACCCTACCTACCACATGCAAACCGCTATTTGTTTATAGATTTATCAAAATCAACTACTGAGCCTTATACTTAAATTAGCGACCATATCGATGTCAACATTATTCGTATTTTCAGTGAAAACAATAGCATAAAAGTATATTGGTGTGTGAGAACAGTTTCGTGTTATTAGTGTTTCATCAAATTATGAGTGTGATTTCTTTTTTTTCTTGATATACTTGATCATAAGTAGGAATATATGTGAAATTCATATTCTATCATATGTATATTGATGAATTACCTAAGTGATACTAGTTTTTAGCTATACTTACGTAGTACAGAAAATATCTGTGACTTGGTTCGAAAAAAACTGATTACTTTCTTCTTACAAAGGTTTTGATTGGTTTATTAAAGAATCGCCAATAATAGGTAATCATTTTGGTGATGGAAAAATACTATCATTGGGCATCGATGAAAGTTCAACAAGATAGAGCAATCGTAATTGATCAAGATTATAAACAGCATATTCATCATCTTAAATAAACATAAGCATAAAAATCGAATCGAAAAACAATTATTTGTCTTAACAGTGAGCTTTGAATTATTTTCATCATTTCTTTTCACTCCATATGTACTATGAAAATGTTCAAGTGTTTGAATTAAGTTTGGTGCATAGGAATAGAATTTATCTGAATCTCCTAATGCTACTTGAGATATACATAATAATCGTCGACCAGGACGTGTTGTACTTGATGTTCTATATTTTAATGATTTTGAAACTGAGGCATAACAAGACCACTAGAAAACAAAAAAAAAGCGCTTAAATAGAAAAGAAAAAAAGGCTTTTTCTTTATCGTGATAAAATGCCATGAAAATTATTATATCTTGACCTATAGATTTAATGAATACTTACTTGTTCATTTGTGCAAAAAACTAATAAAGTTTTTATTTGTATTTTGATAATTACAAGAGAAACAAGATATAAACGAATTTGTTGATGAAGAAATCATATCATGGATTGTTTATATTCCAATTAGTTAATTCATTAACAGTAAGCATATTACATAGCATCTAAATATTGAAGCATTAGAAAAACACATGAAGAAGATTATAAGATAATATTTTTCTGGCATAAATCTAATTTATCAATTAATGCTCGAGAATTATTAAGAAGACCGACAACAAATTATGGTTGATGAGGAATAATAGATTTTTCAGAAATGATCTCAAGTTTTTGGTCTATTTAGAATGTCTTTCTTCCTCTACAAGTAGTTTCATTAGCTCAATGT